AATGAGAGCGCCGTTCACTATCAAGGGTTGTTGCTGAACTAAGGTAGTCCCCTGAAGACAGCAGAGGGGTGCCGAGACAACCTCACTCCACCGTGGTCAGGCAGCGAATCTAGTTGCTAAAGGTCACCACCAGAGGGCAGGTGTAGCTACTAGGCGTGCGTCCTTTCTCCCCGGAGGTCGAGAGACGAATATTGGTTAATTCAATACAGACTGTATTAACTCTCCGGCGACAAGCCTGCGCCATGTTGTGATAATATTACTGCACCCAGTCAACACCAGGGGGTAGCAGCAGCACACGTCCTCTCTACTCAAGGGCTGAGAGACGAATGAATTTTGTGAGTGTATATGGGTAACCTCTTTTATGTCAATTACAATGTGTTGTTAATAATTGGTTAGTGTATGTTCTGTAGGATTGAGGATCCTACTATACCCATTTTATATCTTTATTTAATATCAAGCTGTAAAGTTTTTAAATAAAATATAAAAAAAAAGTTATAAGGATGTTTTCTTATAAATGGTTATCATGTATTGTGATTACGTCAATGTGTGATATGCATGTATACTGTATATTTTAAATAAAAAAAAATATAAGCATCAACAGCCTAACCCGGGAATAATAATGATGATATTGTTGCACTCTCTCTTGGTATTTACTTCTTTATTAAATAGTTTAACTTGTCCGAGATTTATATTACAATATATGAATGTTGGGATATAAGCATAATGAGGTAAGTATCAGTAAATGAAGGTAACAATGTAGGTGAGGTAACCTGAGTTAGGGAACCTCAGTCAGGTAACCTGAGTAAGGGAGGTGTTGAGGCAGGGTAGCAGTGCTACCTTCCTCACTCTCCTTCCTCACTCTAACCTGCTAACACATTCAATAATTACTCATCATGGTGAGTTTGATTGATTTTCCTTTTGTTTTAAACTTTCACCATATTCTCTGATGTCTATATATACACTTACTACAACTCTTTATTAATTTGTGTTATAAATTATCGTCAGTGATATATGACTTGCCTGACGATTCTACTTCCACAGGAGTGGTTTACGATTACACTACTTCCACTGCTGGTTCTCCAAGTTGCTGCTCAGTTCCCTCGAACTTATCAAGTAATTATACTTTTAATAATTCCATAACATTTACTTAAGAAGAATGGAGGGTTATAACACTATTGACTAAAGTTCTGTACTTTCATGTATTTGTATCTTGCAGATTAGAAACTACATGTTCACCTGTTTTACTTAGGACTCGTTTGCTACTCATTAATTTTTAGTTTAATTCTTACGTCCCGTAAATACCCTTTAAATTATAAATAAAATATACACCTACTAATGGCTTCAGTTTGACTATAAGGAACTCTAAAATACATCCCTCAAAGACGACTTTGCAGTTAATTGTTACCCTCAAAATAATCATGCCAAACTAATGCACATCACAAACTAAAACTTACAACCTAATCTTTTTGTATCTTACTAACTTCAAAAATTTTCTCTCCGGATGTTTTTCCCAGCGCCAGGATAACCATCAACATTCCCTCCAATGATGTTTCTTCTGTGAGAAACTTAGATGCAACTTTATTCCCCTGGAGTAATACTCCAAACTTTCAATTCGTCAACAAATTTTTCCTCCACGACTTGGTTTTAATTTTGATAGTACACGTTCTGGCCAAATTGGTTCTCTTCCCTCAAGATATTGGTATCGGACAAATTATTCCTTCTAATCTCGGCCTAGATATTCGTCCAGCCCTGAGCCCAAATGTTGCCAACATTGGCACTGGTTCTGGTCCAACTTTCAGTGGTGCTCGCCAAGCCCAGTGTTTAACCCGGCCAAGCTTTAGCAGTGGCCCAGCTGATAGCCTACCCTTCCGTCAGAGCATTACAAGCGTTCCCCAATTTCAAATACCCAGCAAGAGAATTGAAGTTATTAGTGGAAGACCTGTCTTCGGCAGTCGAGTGAACAGGGTAGATAACTTCTTGAACCCAACTATCACTCAGGTTATCACTATCGACCGCTTCGTTACTCTCACTGAACCCAGCTTCAACAGCGTAGCTGTTACTCTTACTTCCTTAATTGTGCAAACAGTCACTACTGGAACAAGATTGGTAAGTATTACTTTTTGCACGAAATTATAAATTTGCTCTAAATTTGGTACATAATTACTTCGATATTTTACAGGTACTAAGCACTCCAATTAATGACCGCATCGCCCTGCAAACATCGGTGGTACTTCGGCCTTCATCGGTCACGCTTACTGAAGTAAAATCTGACTTCAGAATCGTACGGAAGTTTTCCATAGATCACGTAACAATAACCCACACATCCTACATCATAAAGCAGTTTACATACACCACCACTGCCACTCAGATGTATGTAATAAGTGGGTAAGGGAGTGATTTAACTCTAATTATAGCAGCAGCAACAACTGTTAATCTTTATTTATCTTTCAGACTAACCTACACATCAACGTTGGTGCGGACGAATGTAAATACAGAGAGGAGCACTATCACAGATTACCTTACAGTGACTGACACTGTATATGTCCAGAGAGGCTATGGATCTCTTCCTTAAGGCACCAGCTTGTTAATACTTTGTTTCAAGGTATAAGAATAAATATTATTTTAGCATAGCTATTAATTTGCCTAATTCTCTACAGAAGACTTTTGATACATTTGTTTTCATGCTTTGGCAAAACTTGCCCCTTGACCAGAAGAACGCTCCTCGTGCAAATGATTTATTGCTTTCGAAAACCCCTTTTAAAAACGGGTAGGGGAAGGGTTAGTTCCCTTCCCTTTAAATTTTTATAAATTGAGGTATTAAATTTCTTTTCCCTAAAGATCCCATTTAAGCAGGCAAACCCGATTCCTTAGGTGGGCTAATTCGCAAAACTGTAAACCCTTTAAAGGTTTTCCCTTAAATTTTTCCCCCTATTTCGAGGGTGAAGAATTAATTTTGCCTCTACGTTTTGAAGAAAAGACTTTACTTCCCCTTTTTAAAACCTCCCCTTGGGCAGCTTTTCTCCCCCCCTTTAAAAAATTCGTCCTGTGGAATTATTTAAACTTAATTTTTAAAATTGGTCAAAGAATTTTAAACATGTCGTGGTTACTGTAAAGGGGAATGGGGGCTGTTCATTTATGGATAAGGTGGTCAGTCTTAAAATTTCCCATTTTTTGGTGGGGGAAACGGGAGGGGTTTTGTTGAATGCTATTTCCCCCTGAACTTTTAAACCCAAACCCCCCCCCCCCCCCACCTCCCAGGTACAACAGCTTGCCACCCCAGCCTTTGCGTGGTACCCTTGGAGGGCCCCAAAGTTCTTCCCCCTTTTTGGGGGTAAAAAATTTAATCCAAAAATTTTAAAATTTTTTTGACATTCCGGGAAATTTTAAGGAAATAAAAGAATAAGCTATTTTTACCTGGCAACAATTTTCAGACACATAGAAAAACTTAATGTTTAAAGTGGTTCTTAATATACATAAAGAAAATCTTGCACAGCTCCTTGACTAAAAATGTAAAGTTATTACTTGGGTAAAAACGTTAACTTGACTCACTAATTTTTCCCACTAGCTTTATTACTTATTAGTCAAACAAGCACAAAATCCCCTAAACAATCAAATTTTAGCATTTACTTTTATAATCTTTAACTGTGTAGTTTAAAGCCCTTTGAGTTTAGCACTGCCCCATTTGAAAAAATTACATCCAGGGACGTTGAACCTCCCTTCACTAACACTGAAAATTCCCCTTCCTCAGTTGACCCCCAAAAACCCTTTAACCATAAACCCCTACCGAGCTTGTAGGCACCGGCCTTCCCAGCTTAAAAGCAAAGAAAATTACATGTGTAAGGCACCTGTATACCCTTGTGGTTTTTCGCTTTTTGATTTTAATAAAATAAATGTGTAAGGTTTCAGACCAAGCAGACATCAGTGGGAATAAATAGAAGCCCCTTTTTTGGCTGAACATTTCCTGCAAATTGTCCCCAAAATGCGACCCACACCACTCCCCTAAAACCCAGGTACCCCTTTCCCGATGGGTGAACTGGACAACAGTGCGAAAAAAAGGCCAGAGTTTCCATCCCTTGCCGGGTCTTAACCCGGACCTTCCTTTTGAAGGTTTTTGCCCCGGGGCCCCCCAAAAAACAAAAAACCCCTAAAAAAATTTCCCTTTGGGCCCACAAACTTATCCTATAAAAAATTTTCGCCAGGTAAAATTACCCTTCCAGATCCATGGCTCGAAACACTTGTCAATAGTAGACTTATACCCGGCTCTAGCCTGTCCAAAATCTTAACCGACACTTCGTCCCCTTTAAAAAATAGACGCCATGTCTCAATTTCCCAAAATAAATGAAAGCAGTTCAGTTCCATGCAAGATCCATCTGCAAAACCTTTAAAAATGCTCTAGCTGAAGAATGCCCTGTACGTTCTAGTCCCCCAAAGGGGGGTGCAGTTTAAAACCCCCCCCCCCCACCGGGCCCCCCACTTTTAAACTACGTGGAGCCTTAGAACGACATAAAACGTTAGTTTCCTTCCAGGGTCCCCCGCCTTACTTTAAACTGCAAACTGTCTAAGTTATCCCTGAAATTCTAAAAAAGCCCCACCCGTTTCGGGCCTCCCCCTTTTGAAGGTTCCAACCCTGCAACACTATCAAAACGCCCCAACGATCAAAAAAATCCAAAGGGGAACCCCGTTGTCAAAGGGGTACGATTAATGGGTGCTTGGGGGGGGATTGTAATGGGAAGGGACTTAGGCAGGGGTGTCTCATTTCACAAAATTTTGCGTGATTCAGGGGCCCCTTTTTTAGAAAAGAATGGTTTAAGTTTTTGGGATGTGACACGAGTGGAGGTTGGGGGAGGTCGGGAAAGTTGGCCCGGAATAAATAGGATATGTAGAGTCAAAAGTCCCGGTTCGAGAGGGGGGGGCGTTTGGGGGGTTATAGATTTGTGCAACGTTTGGAAAAGCAACAGGGATGCAGGAAAAACGAGAAGTCAATTATCATGGGTTGGGTTTTTTGGGTGGAGGGGGGGGGAGATTAACTTTGAGGAAACAAACTGTCTTCAAAAAATTTTTTATCACCTAATAAGGATGACTTGGACGCTGTTCGAGAGGAAAACTCTAATAGATTAATGGAAAGGATTCAGGGGCGTCTGGGTGCATTGTGACCTCGTCTGACTCGTGCAACGCGTGATTGTTATAAATGTATTATTGTATAGTAAGGTTTGGCACGTAGCAGACGTGTTCCCATTAACAGGGACGGCGATTATTTCATTCGCTGCCTGACCACGGTGGAGTGCGGTTGTGCACGGCACCCCTCTGTTTTCAGGCGAGCTACCTCAGTTCGTCACAACCATTGAGAAGTGAGGACGTGCGCTGCTCATTTACCAACATGTAGCTGCAGAGCTACAGGCGCATCAACACTGTTTGTGTTGAGTTGACCCGTGGGCTGTCACTGGAGCCACGATGGACTTGTACTACCGGCGATTATCCGTGATACCTACGGTATCGCAAATGAAGAGATGTGTGGTGTAGCACTTAATGGGACGACACGGATCTTCGTTAAAATGACGTCAGCAAATGTTTATGAAGCGGTGGTGGATGAATATCAAGAGACCATTATAACCGTCAATTCATGCTGTATCAGTACGTCTACATGATGATCAAGACACTACACGGGTTAAAATAAGGAATGTGCCTTTTGAGGCGAATGAATGTTATAAAAGATGAACTACGTAATTATGGCACGGTTCATATGGCCTCTGCAGGTCGGTGGGCTGCTGGACCTTATTCTGGAAGTTTGGAGTGAACATATTCAGTCAAAATGACCTTACGCCATCCCATACCGTCCTATATTATGTTGCAAGCATTTCGAACTGAAGTATATGTAACATATGCGGGGCAACGTCGTACGTGTCGGCTGTGTGATCGTATGACCACATAGCGGCACAGTGTGGTAAGCGTCGTGGGAATCTCCAAATATCGCAACAGCAACAACGGAAGAGGTCGAGGAAGTTGAGGGGACTAGAACAGTCTTATGCTCACCAGTCTCGACAACGGACATCTTGGAGTGAGAGGTAGAAAAAGCGCAGGAGAATGCTTTGGAGGATGCAAAACAGCGAGAAGAATCACCGTCACTGGACATAATAAAGTATTTGAAGAGACTCTGCCCCTATTGGGGACGAGGATGTAGCGGCGTCTTTAGTGAAGGCACTGGATGTATTGTTAGACGAGTCGATCGTCAAACCGTGTGGAGGATCCAGGTGCAAATTTGGGATCGGTTGAGCATCATGGTGAGGCGACGGATGAAAGCATTGAGTCTGGGGTGTCGCATGGTATGATGGTAAATATAGCAGAAGTGGAGGTGCATCATGATAGTACTAAAGAAATCCCAATGCAGGTGGAGGGTAGGACGCGAAAGCGAACTGCGACCCCACCAGACTCGGACAACGTGCTTACTCCTGCCCAAAGGCCAGGGAAAAGTCTTGGGCGGATGTACAGAGGAAAGGGAACAGTGAATCCACGAAACAGAGTTTATCAAGGTGATTCCCAAAAAGGGGGAGAGGGATAGAGGTGTAAAATGTATAAGTGAAAAGTCTATACCTAGAATCAAAGGAAAATCCCATTAATGACTTTAGGTTTTGACAATAAATATTAACGGTTTGAGATCTGAGCGGAAGCGAAAGTGGTTTAATGAATTTTTGGTGCGTCTAGTTGTGGATGTGGTATTTATCCAAGAACACAATTACAGAATTGGATATGAGTTAGAAATAGATGGTTACGATGTGTATATGGAATATGCGACGAGGTTAAAAGGAGGCATCGCCATTCTGGTAAAGGAAAATAGCCAGTTTGTAGTATGCCGTAGTGAAAGGGGGGAGGGGAAGTGTGATTAGGGTGGATGGTTTATGGGGTAGAGTACATATAAGTTTTGTAGGTGTATATGGGCCGCCCAGGGAGATGTCGACTTAACTCATTTTGTAAAAGATGTATTTGAATATCATCTACGTAGTTTACCAATGTAGCGATAAACGGGGAGACTGGGAATTGTGTAATACGACGAAAAGATGTGGATCCTCGAGGAGCGGGTGTTGCTGGGGTTACCTGGGAGATTTATTGACGAGTGTCCTCTTCAAGGGGGGCTCCTTGGCGTGGTGAAGAGGCTCTTGGTCTGAGGAATTAGACCTATCGGTCTTCTTCCTCAGACCGAACCTAATTACCCCCCCAATCTCCCCTCCCCTATCCCATCCTCCCCATCCTCCCCTTTTCCTTTCCTCCTCCACCCTCCCCACCCCTCCCTTTTGCCCTTCCTCTTTTGTCCTTTGGGATTTTCTCCACAGGCGCGCTAGTTCCTAGTAGAGGAAAGGATACCGGGGTCCATCCCATTCCGTTGAGGTTCTTAGCGGTGGCGTAGTTTGCCGTGGAATCTGGATCGCCTGGGGATGTCCCGATCCCTCTCCGGTATCCCGGAGTAGCTTTGGGTGTCTTTCGGGCGACGAGTGTATCTCTGGAAGCCACCTTTCGGATTCCGGGGGTGGTGGCCGAAGGAGGTATGCTTTGTGGCGGATATCCAGCCGCCCTCTCTTTTGTCCACCGAGGTAGCTCGGCAGATGTGAGGTTGCTATCCCGGATTGTTAGTTT